TTTGAAGGTTCATAGTAAAGAATTATGATTCCAATAGTTAGCATCTTGATTCTAAATCTTAACTATGCTACTGGTTTATTTATTTCTATTATTTATTTATTTATTGAAAGAAAGAAATTAATGCGTTCATTTAACAAGGATGCATTAAATTAATCAAAAGTGAGATTTAAAGGAGTAGTTCACTTTAAAAAAAAAACTTTTGCTGATAATTATCTCACCCCCATGTCATCCACGATGTCCATTTCTTTCTTTCTTGAGTCGAAAAGAAATTTATTTTTTTGATGAAAACATTTCAGGATTTTCTCCATATAACACTTCAATGAGAACCAAACAGTTCAAGGTCCAAATGAGAGTTTCAGTGCAGCTTCAAAGGGCTTTAAACGACACCAGACGATGAATAAGGGTCTTATCTAGCGAAACGATCGGTCATTTCAAAAATAAATAAAGTTTAGGTTTTATAAGCATAAATGCTCATCTTGCTCAGTTTTGTGATGAGCGTTCGTGACTCTCCTGTTCAAACTCGTTCATCAAAATGAACAAATCTTTTTTCAAGTCATGACTCGAAGGGTTCTAGATAAGACCCTTATTCGTCATCTGGTGTCGTTTAAAGCCCTTTGAAGCTGCACTGAAACTCTCATTTGGACTATTTGCATTATTAAAACATAAGCTTACCACTTTGGCAAGCAAGGCAAGCAGATAGTTTTTAACACTGGCTGGTTATGTATTTTCTCAATTATGTATACCGGAAGTGTATAGTAGTGCTGTCAAATCGATTAATCGTGAATAATCACATCTAACATAAAAGTGTGTATATTGACTGTAAAGGTGTGTATATAATATACTGTTTACAGTACACACACACACACTCCTATATAAACACAAACTTGTACGTTCATTTTCTTCATAACACACACAGACGTGATTCTAACGTTAGCATGTTGCTAAGCTAATGTTTTGGTACTCTAAAAAACACAAAACTTACATACATGCAATACTGAGTGAAATTTTTTGTCAGTGAGAAAGAACACATTTTATCATGTTCTGCACAGTTTTCGTGCGTAATAGTCAAGAGTGCACCTACGATGGTTAAAATGCTCTCTAGAAAAATGTGTGTCTGGTACAACAACACCACATAGATTTGAATGCTACAGACATACTATGTTCTGCTCTACAAAACGGAGGTCGCACTGAGGAAAAAAACAAAAACAAAAGTGATGAATGTGTCCTCGGATGAAAGTCTAGAGCCACTCTTTGAATCGAATGGGAGAAATACAAACTTACTCAATGGAAAGGGTTTCCCACACACACTAGCACACGCACAAACAGCAAACACGACACATGCTGAGGCAGTGAGTAACAAATCTACACTGACACACGTGCCATGATCTTGATGTCTCGATGGGCACTAGCATGAAGATTCTAGCTTGGCGGAACCTTCCAGCCGTCCTTCTCTGAAAGATTTCGTCTAAAAACGTAAAGATAAAAACCCTTTTATGATTTCTTGCCTTCATGTCTGGCTGTCAAACAGTCACTTAAATGAGCGTCAGGTGTTTGGCCCACTGCCCCGTTTTGCATATGTGATTCCCAGTCTTGTCTCTCTTTGCTGAAGCACTTGTGGTGCACCCATACACATTTATAACTCCAGCTCCCAGCAAAAACAGCAACTGTTTAGATGTTGAATATTTAATGTTTTGTTCCTGGTCGGCGTCTCCTGGCTCTGTGTGTGGCACTGATTTTAATCTCTTGAGCAGAATGTTGTTGTGGAAGGTCTGGTGATCTCGTAGACTCAAGAAAACACACAGTCGTATTCCAACATCTGAGTGTTCTTTTGGCAAGGTGAGAGAGAGAGAGAATGGAAAGGGAGAGCTAGGGGAGTGAGTAGTGGAGGAGATGCACTGGAGGTCACTTCTCTCTGGTGACCACAAATTTGCTGAGCTTTTGATTTTATTCATTGCTACCTGAGCTCATAAAGACTTGCAAACATGTTGTGGTCATTGTGAAAGTTATGAATGTCGATAAAGCCAGTGGGGTCAGAGGTCAGACTGTGACTATATATATATATAAACATGGAATGTTTGTCACATACATTGACATTCAAAAGTTTGGAGACAGTATGATTTTTTTGCTTTTATTCTGCAAGGATGCATACAATTGGTTAGTTGAGATTAATGACATTTATTATGTTACAAAAGATTTCTGTTTTAAATAAATGCTCGTATGTTGAACTTTGTATTCATCAAATAATTCTGAAAACAATCTATCACAGGAATGTTTGGTGAAAATTCAGCTTTACCATCGCGCAGGATTGGTCTACATATTAAAATATATTAAAATAGAATGTTCTAATAGTTATAAAAGTTAAGTTGTAAACTTAAAATTTGAATAATATTCCACAAATGACCTGTTTTACTGTATTTTTTAAATCAAGTAAAGTGTTGATGAGCATAATATATTCACTTTACTTTTTAATAATATTTACTATGTATAATGTTGCAAGCTGCTTTGGATAAAAGCGTCTGCCAAATGCACACATGCTAAAGTAAATATTATATTAAGTACATTTAATAAATACATTTCAATTAGCTATTATTTTTATTAGTATAATATTTCTTTATTTTAGTCAACTTAAAAAAAAAAAAAAAAAATTATTAGGGGTACCGTTCGGTATGAGGCTTTCGGCTCGATTTTCGGTGCGCATTTCCAAGCCATTTGGACCATTTTTCCTGCCGACCAAGATTTCGTTATTTCAAATGTAGGCGCGTTACGCGTGGCTGGCAAGCGCGCTCATACGCTCAGATAGAGACGCTGACATGGAGATGCTGACATGACCACAACATCAAATGGCAAATGTAATGTAAGCGGAACGAAACTGAGCTATTTGTTATTGTGTGGTTGACGGACCGTTTATCGGTTTGGTATGGAAGCTTGTTTCCGCCATTGAATAAAAAATATAATAAAGAATTGTGACTTTTTATCTTACAATTCTGACTTTTTTTCTCACAATTCTGACTTTTTTTCTCACAATTGCGAGTTTATATCTCACAATTCTGACTTTATTTCTCAGAATTGCGTGATATAAAGTCGCAATTGCGAGTTATAAAGTCAGAATTGTGTGTTATAAAGTCAGAATTGCGAGATATAAAGTCAGAATTGCGTGATATAAAGTCAGAATTGTGAGATATAAAGTCGCAATTCTGAGAAAAAAAGACAGAAGTGTGACTTTTTTTTCTCACAATTGCGAGTTTACATCTCGCAATTCTGACTTTATAACACATAATTGCGAGTTTATATGTCGAAATTCTGACATCTTTTCTCAGAATTGTGAGATATAAACTCGCAATTGCGACTTATTAGGCCAATTCTTTTTCCCCCATCAGAAGAGTTTAAATCTCACAATTCTGACTTTATATCATGCAATTCTGACTTTAAAACTCGCAATTGCGACTTTATATCACGCAATTCTGACTTTATAACTCGCATTGTGACTTTATATCACGCAATTCTGACTTTATGTCTCGCAATTCTGACTTTATAACTCGCAATTGCGACTTTATATCACGCAATTCTGACTTTTTATCTCGCAATTCTGACTTTATAACTCGCAATTGCGACTTTATATCTCGCAATTCTGACTTTTTATCTCGCAATTGCGACTTTATATCACGCAATTCTGACTTTATATCTCGAAATTCTGACTTTATATCTCGCAATTCTGACTTTATAACTCGCAATTGCGACTTTATATCACGCAATTCGGACTTTTTATCTCGCAATTGTGAGAAAAAAAGTCAGAATTGTGAGATAAAAAGTCGCAATTATTTATTTTATTTTTTTATTCAGTGGCGGAAACAAGCTTCCATAGTATGGACCAATGCAGTGCGAGCTGATCTTAATCAAGCACTGTTAACTACACAGTGTAATACAGTAAAGAAAAAAAATGAATTCACCACTGAAGTAATAACATCGCTTTAAAATCTAGTGAGAAACATTCACATTTCTCAACGGATGAAACAGCGCTGATGTCCACAGATCAGCAACATTCACCATGAATTTACTGTAACTGTAACGGAAGTTTGGCAGTTTGACAATTGCTGCCCTCAAATGTTAATCTGAACTAAAATAAACCTTTGTTTATAACTTCCACAATGTTACATTTATTTTTTCCAAGGAGCTGTTTTGTTTTATATGCTCCTAAGAAAAGCCAAGAATAGCTCCATCATTGCTCAAAGTAAAAAAAAAAAAAAAAAAAAAAAATACATCATACTTTATGATGGTAATTTTAATAAATATATAATTAAAAAAATAAATAAATCAAGGAAATTTCTATTTCTCTGGCATTTCTTTCTTTTTGCTCTATCGAAAATGTACCGATCCGTGATTTTTGTGAACCGTTACACCCATAATAATTATACAATTTATTATATTTGCTTTAGTTTTAAATACAGTAATACTTTATTGTATATATATATATATATGAAGAGTACAGATGCAAAAGCCTCTAAGTGCCATTTGAAATTTTCTTCTAAAATGATTATTTTTATCAAGCTTGTATATTTAAGTTCAGTAATTTCACTTAAATGGCAATGAAGATTACCTATTAATTGTCATTTAAGTGAAATTACTGAACTTAAATATACAAGCTTGATAAAAATGGTCATTTTAGAAGAAAATTTCAAATGGCATTTAGAGGCTTTTGCATCTGAACTCTTCATATATATATATATATATATATTGATATCCCTTAGATCTGAACAAATGTTGTCTGCAATAAATGAGCATTATCTCAGAAGCTAAACTAAAGTTTTGTGAGAATTTGCTTATCTTGACAAATGCAAATGCCAGTGCCACATGGATGGGGTGAGCTATATGATGTCATAGCAGGGCAACGAAACCGCCCTTCCTCTGTGTTAATACCAAAACATCTGCTTGAGGTTAGTCATGTGACTTTTATCCCGCTTTCATTTATATCATATGCTAAAATATTACCGTCTCGTGTACAGGGAGGTTTTCCAGATCAGAGATGGAAGAGCAGGCTGGCAGCGCGGGCAACAGCCCTCAACACGGGCGCGGGTCGGCCAGGCAGGACGTCCTACGATGTGGTTGGCTCCGGAAGCAAGGAGGTTTCGTGAAGACCTGGCACACGCGTTGGTTCGTCCTCCGAGGAGACCAGCTGCACTACTACAAGGACGAGGACGAGACCAAGGCTTTGGTGAGGAAATACTTTTCACTTCTTTACACGCAGATGTGCACATTACGTTGTTTACACTCCACACATTTTAGCCAGTTCATTCACACGCAAATATCACGACATTCCTCCAAGTTCAAATCTCATGCCAAGGCCCAAACAAGAGAGGTGAGGAAAGAGTGACCTGCTTTTTACCTCTCATCAACCTCTCCTGAATGATGACTTGTCACGGTTCCTCGTACAACAATGGAGATTTTTATCCTCGAGGTCATGCAGCTGGTCTTGAGTAGGTGGACAAAAGTGTTTGCAATGGAATCAGGCGGGAATTTGAGAAGGTTCCATAAATCTCCCTTAAAACCGTCCCGTCTCGTGCCTCCACAGAGAGGAAGACAGTGAGGCGCACAGGAATATTAAAGATTTACGCCTTCACGTCTGCGTTTTAAGGATCGTATCCTCTATCTTTGAAGTTCCATGTTCTGCTTTAATTTTCATGTTTAATGCTCTGGTGGAGCTTGTCGTAGGTTTCGTTAGCTGTCAGATATTGGATTTCAAGAGTAGGCAGCGTCTTCATTCAGGGTTTGGTTGACAAAGGACACTGAATATGCCTTTTAAAGGAATCCAGAGTCTTTGAAGTTCTTCAGACGAGTACGTTTGAGGTTGTTAAAATACGTAAGAAAGGATCGATGCTGTGAAGCTCTTCTAGAATCCACTGGCAAATATTTACACAAATATGAAAGTCTTTTATCAAAATACTAAAGCGTGTTCTACTTTGAGAAGTTTTGTTGAAAATAAACCTTACAATGACTTTTTTTTTGCTCAGGTTTTCATACAAATAGTGCCGTAAGTATTATAAGTAAATATTCTAATAAATAAAAGGTTTTTAAAAAGTGATTTTATTTATCATATTTTTTATAATATTTACTATAATGTTCTAATAATAGTATTATGTGTAATGTTATAATAACATGAAGGAAATATTATAACTATAACTTATTTTTTATTATTATTATCTTTATTGTGGTAATCTAAAATACTTTTTATAATCATGAGCATCATATACTATTTATTTTCATATACTTTGGTGTTATTAAGATTTTGCTGTGGTATAGGCTAAATCTAAATCAGATTATTTAGATTTACATTTATCATAATTTATACCTAATTGTTTAAAGTAAACATTTAATAATATTTTCTAAATGTATTACTAATATAATTATTATTTATCTTATATAACCTTTGTTACAATCATCATATTTGATTTATAATTGTAATATTTGCATTGTAATGTTTACTTTAATACACTTTAGTATTAAAAACACTTTACTGTTAGTATAAAGTTTTAATAAAATATTTACTTTTACATTTATCATATTTAGTCTATAGTTTCATTAAGTAAACATTTTCTAATATTTACTTTTATTTTGTAATAATGTTTAATTTATAACTTTATAATATTATGTGGTAAATGTAATAAATCAATTATTTATTACTATTCTAGTTTTATTCTAATCATATTTCCTTCATTATTACTGTATAATATTTGCATTATGATATATATTTATTTGTCTAATATTACATCATAAATATTATAATACATAAATCCCTCTGTAATATATTTTAGAGCAATTTCCGTGAATAGTGTTTTGTGTGAATGGACTTGTTTGTCTGTAGTCTATTTGTACAATAATTCATTGTATATAATCTGCCATTCAAAGTCCCTAAAGCGGTTTGTGGGTCAAGTGTACAAATATTACAATATAAAGTGTGTGTCATTGTTTACGGGTGTGTGTATGAACGAGAAAGCAATAAGAGGCCATATGAGCTCAGACATGCTTTGCCACGACAAAGCGTGTGCATGAATGCGAACCACCACAACATAAATCAAACCCATGTGGCTAGAGGTTGACAATGTGCAAATCTGATTCATAAGACCTCTGATGGCCTGCTAACATCAGGATATACTCCTGCTTTTGATCTGCTTTCCCCCTCAGAGCCACTGCTGAAGAGCAAATGGAAAGGCAGACATGAGTCAGTGACTGTTATGACAGGCTGTTGTTGACACGATAACCCGACATTCAACCATGAAAGAGCAGCGTTTGTCTTTTCTTTGCATATTGTTTAATCATTGCCGTGAACTATTCCATATGCGCAGAGAACTAGTCAAACTAGTTTCACGTATGTGTGCTGGTCTCAGAGGTCTCTATGGCAACGGCTTGCAGTGCTACAGGGAAAACCACTGACACCGCACCAGACAGAAGATTCAAGGTTTCTCTGTCTTCATGCCGAGGCAGAGAGAAGAAGATCTGCTGTGTATTCTGCACTCGTCTAATGAGAAACAGACTATTGTTTGCTGTTTAACAAAGTAGGGTTTTTTTTTACATTTCTGCAACCCGTTTTTATATGTCTATCCATCCATCCATCCATCCATCTCTTTCTGTCTGTTTTTTATCACTATATCGTTTTTTTATCCATCCATCTATCCATCCATCCATCTCTGTCTGTCTGTCTGTCTTTTATCACTATATCGTTTATTGTTCCATCCATCTATCCATCCAGCTATCCATCTTATCCATCCATCCATCCAGCCATCTATCCATCCTATCTATCTATCTATCTATCTATCTATCTATCTATCTATCTATCTATCTATCTATCTATCTATCTATCTATCTATCTATCTATCTATCTATCTATCTATCTATCTATCATATCATATCATATCATATCTATCCATATCCATCCATCCATCCATCCATCCATCCATCCAGTCTATCTATCTAGACTGTCTGTCTTTTATCACTCTATCTATCTATCTATCTATCTATCTATCTATCTATCTATCTATCTATCTATCTATCTATCTATCTATCTATCTATCTATCTATCTATCTATCTATCTATCTATCTATCTATCCATCCATCCATCCATCCATCCATCCATCCATCCATCCATCCATCCATCCATCCATCCATCCATCCATCCATCCATCCAGTCTATCTATCTAGTCTGTCTGTCTTTTATCACTCTATCTATCTATCTATCTATCTATCTATCTATCTATCTATCTATCTATCTATCTATCTATCTATCTATCTATCTATCTATCTATCTATCTATCTATCTATCCATCCATCCATCCATCCATCCATCCATCCATCCATCCATCCATCCATCCATCCATCCATCCATCCATCCATCCATCCATCCATCCACTCCATCCATCCATCCATCCAGTCTATCTATCTAGTCTGTCTGTCTTTTATCTATCTATCTATCTATCTATCTATCTATCTATCTATCTATCTATCTATCTATCTATCTATCTATCTATCTATCTATCTATCTATCTATCTATCTATCTATCTATCTATCTATCTATCCATCCATCCATCCATCCATCCATCCATCCATCCATCCATCCATCCATCCATCCATCCATCCATCCATCCATCCATCCATCCATCCATCCATGTCTGTCTGTCTGTCTGTCTGTCTGTATTTTATCACTCTATCGTTTATTGTTCCATCCATCTATCCTACTTTGACATTTTCACAACACATGATCAACACCCAATTTGAATGCCTTTAATATGTTGTGTTTTATAATGCATTTTACCATTTAAAGGTGTCTTCAATAATTTCCGAAAAGACATGGATTATAGTTTGTTTTATAATGCTTTGAAAATGCTTATAATGCAAAAAGTGTTTCCCTAGAAAGCTCTTTAAAACATAAGTAGAAACCACAATGGCCTATAATGCTGAAACAGTGTAGTCTGTAACTTCTGCATTCGACTATTTTTCACAAGAACCTGCTGTACTTCAGTGCAGCTTATTGACTAACTCAAACAGTTAGGAAAAGGATCCTGTTTGATATCAGTGGCTTCAAAGCCTATGAATAATCTGAGGATACGCAAACTTTTAAAGCCAGGGCTGCTTTTGATCATATAAATGCAGTCATTTTGTGAAAGTCGGCACAGGATGTTTATGGAAGAAAAGTTTGTGAAAACATTTTTGCCTTAAAAGACCTTGCTCGTTCTTTGCTTCTTCAAGCGTGTATTTCTAAGATATTTAGAGAAGGACTCTTGAAGATTGAAAGTTCCTAAAAAATCAGCCTGTCTTCCCATGGTGAACCTCTTTTTGCACAAAGCAAGAGTACCAAAAATATATTAAGGCAGATTTCAGAATATTTAGTGATTAAAAAAAAAACAATCATGAGCAGTACAGCATGTGATTTCCATTGGCCAAGATTTAGCCTAACCCTTCCAAACTTATTCTGTCTCTGTTCATCTCAACAGTCTACACACCAATGTTAGGCTTTCAGAAAAAGGGAGCTAATGGCAAATGGAAAGAGCAACCGTCGGCCCACAATGCATCTGTTGTTCTGCTCTCTTTTTTATGAATGAGATCCCTTATGCACTTCAAAACGTGGAATATTATGGAGCCTGCCAGGGAAGAGCTCTCCGTGAAGTGAACACAGATGTAAATTTCAAGGGCTTGTGTCCACCTATAATGGGTGAGAAAGGTTCCCCTGACCTTTAGAGAAGAAAGTTTTGGGGGGCAGTGTTTTGTATATTATATAAGTTATATATTTTATAATATTTGAAAATAGTTTTAATTAGTTATTTTGAATTGTAATAATATTTCACAATATTTCTGAATGTATATATACATGTATATATATATATATATATATATATATATTAGTGTTGTCAAACGATTAAAATATTTAATCGCGATTAATCGCAATTAATCACATATTTTTTATCTATTCTAAATGTCTCTTGATTTCTTTTTGTCCCATTATTTTTTCTCATTTTAATGCTCTTAACAACATGGAAAAGTGTATGCTGCGTCCTGTTGCAAAAGCATGTGAAAGAAAACTACAAAGTTCGCTAGCCCAAAAAGACGGTTAATCGCGCGATAAAAAAATTGACACCATTAAAATGGGTTTGCGTTAACACCGTTAATAACGCATTTAACTGACAACCCTATATATATATATATATATATATATATATATATA